TATGAAGGTGAAACATTAGTCCATTATACATAGACACATGGAGTCTCAACGTTTTCCACAAAAAAGACAAACCAGTTTAGGTATAAATTAAGAAGATGATGAAGTTGTCGGCACGCAATCAGAAATAGTGTTTAATGCATGTAGATTGGTCAAGACCATGATACACGTTAAGCAACTAATCATATCCTCGCTTTTAGCTTCATTGACTTTTTTGCAGTTGGATCTGATTTCTCCCCGGCTTCCTATTAATGGGCTAATATCACCCATATTATCACTGACTGAGCAAACGCTTGGAACAAGGCTGTTTGGTTGTTGGCAAAAAAGTTGACAATAGACACTGTAGAAGTCCTATTCGTCGAAAACAAACTCTTGGTTTGATTCAAAGCCCCTGATCGTTAGAAGATTCTTAAAGTAGTTGTTATCAAACGTGCCTGGGGACGAAGGGCTAAGGTTGTTCAGAGTAGACTCGTTTCCATTTTGTGGACATTTTTGCCGCAGAGTTGCTTGATTCTGAGAAGCCCAAATTTCACAATTTTGATAGAATTTGGAGTTTGTTCAGAAGCTTTGTCTTTTTTATTAAGGAAAACTAATTTTCCAATTCTTATCGTTGTTGTTACACACAAGTTGTAATTTTTCCAAATCGGCCAGTTTCTAAAGCTTATCCCCTTTATCTTCATTCTCCATCGTTGACATTCTAAATTTTATTCAAATGAATATAAATATTAATGGCTCTACTTATTTATCCTGTGTATGTACACAATTTACAATAACAGTAATAATATATATATATTTTGTTACATTGCATATAAATATTTAAGCGTTTATTTTGTATTTTTGTTGGGATATTAGGTCTGTTTGAATCAGTGATTGAAAAAGTAGCCTTTGAAAAAAATGAAGTTGGGTAAAAGCTAAATTAGATAAGCTGAATTATGTTTGGACTGGAGTTCAGAAAAGCTAGTTTGCAAAAGTGAGGCTGATAAAAGGTTGTTTGGATTATGATCGAATAAAGTAAGTTGGTTGTAAATGATAAAAATGGGTATGAGTTTAATAAATAATGAAACATTATTTTCAAAAAATGATTTCACATAATACAATGAAATTAAAATAATTTAATATGAAGAAGTCAAATTTATGAGTGAATTAATTTTAAAACTTCAGAGAAATCATAAATATATTTTAAATATAAAGTGAAACATGGAAAAAAAATGAATTGAGATAATATAATAAATTTAAATTAATTTAATATAAGGAAGTGAAATTGATTGAGTGAATTAAATTTTAAAACTTTAAAAAATTGTAAAAAATAATTTAAATATAAAGTGAACATGAAAAAAATAAAAGATTTATTACTTTCAACTAATTTATTTGATTTTTATTATTTACAAATTAATTATTTGAGGCTTATAATAAAAACTAAAGGAGATAATACATTTCTTAACTTTTTCTATCTCAATGTTTCAAAAGCTATAATCATAAGTTTATTAATTTTACTTATAACTTATTGTAGCTTTTCATACAAAAAAAGTCATATTGTTCAATTGCTCAACCAAATAGTATCAAAATTTGCAATCGTGCTTTTCAGGCTTATAACCTGCTTGTAGTGCCTAAAACACCCGGCCAAACAGGCTGATTATGTGCATATCATGAGTACGTTTGCCAGTTGTATTTAAATTATGCTTTGCAATAGCTATGTACTATTGGAATATTAACTAATAATTTTAGTCTCCACAATGAATGTTTAACAATTTAAAATACCGCCGTCGTAACTCTTCCAAAACAGCCAAAGCTGGGGCACGGGGGCTTTATCTGGGTACTGTTTTATTTATTTTAATAAGTGAGTGTTTGACATTCTCAAAAAATATTTTTACATTTTATAAAAAGTTTCTCCACCAAACACCTCTTAAATATATTTTAGGGGAAATCACAAATAAAGACCCTCGAATTAGCAAAATCACTCTATGGTCACCTGAATATGCTAAATTACTATGAAGGACCCGGTCTCAAATTGTAATTATGAAATCATGGCCAAATTACCAAAATACCCCTCTTTAATTTTTTTTTAAAAAGAAAGCCACTGCCTAACCGAATCCGCCACCGGCGCCGGAGCTCCGGCGGCCGCTTCCGGCCACTGTCGGTGGCCGGGACGCCGGGGTCCGGCCGCCGGAGCTCCGGCGCCGGCGGCCGCTTCCGGCGGTCTTCCTTTATTTTTTTTTTGAAACTATTTTTTTTTTTAATTGGGGGGAAGTGAGGTTGGGGGATTTGATCCCCCAACCTAATGCTTCCCAAAATAAGGAATGACCATTGAACCAACAAATTTTTGTTAACATTATGATGCAAAAAAAAATATAAGTTAACTCATTTACTCTTGTTCCAGGTGATAACAACAATACATTTGGAAATAACAAGTTCTGATTGTAAAATAACACGTCTGGAATAAAAATTTAACAATAGTATTTTTTATAATAATAAATTTTGTTGCAGGAATAACAACAATACATTTAAAAATAACAAGTTCTGATTATAAAATAACAAGTTTGGGATTAAAATTTAATAACACGTTTTTTTTATAACAATACACTTGTTTCAAGTGATAACAATAATACATTTAAAAATAACAAGTTCTGATTATAAGATAATAAGTCTGGGATTAAAATTTAACAACATGTTTTTTTATAACAACACACTTTGTTTCAAGTGATAACAACAATACATTTGGAAATAACAAGTTCTGATTATAAAAAAACAAGTCTGGAATTAAAATTCAACAGCACCTTTTTTTTATAACAATTAATTATTTTATACTTTTGGAAAATAAATTATTTATAACTTAAAAGAGTACTTGTAATCTATTTAATTGCTAAAAAAATAATTTTTATCTCCAATTTATAATCAGAACTTGAAGTATAATTTTTTATAGATTAAAAATACTTTTTTATTGTTCAAATTTATAAATAAAATTTAGGGAAAATGGCAACACACTTTTTTAATTTTTTTAAAAAATTTTTAATCTATATATCTATACAAATTATTATAAATCAAACTACTTCTTATAAATTATAAATAGTACAATTTATTGTGGATTAAAAATACTTTTTGACTGCTTAAATTTATAAATGAAATTATCTCTAATTTATAATTAAAATACTATTTTATTCTTTAAATATAAAAAAATATTTTTAATATTTAAAGAATGAAATAATATAAAATTTATACTATGATTAATAAATCAAAAATGCCTTATTATAAATACTTTATAATTTATAAGAAGTAGTTTGATTTATAATGAGTTGTATAGATATACAGATTAAAAGTATTTTTTTAGAGAAATAAATATATTAAAAATATTTTTTATAAGTTATAAATAATATTTTTTTAAAAGTATAAAATAATTAATTGTTATAAAAAAACGTGTTGTTAAATTTTAATCTAGACTTATATCTTATAATCAGAACTTGTTATTTTTAAATGTATTGTTGTTATCACTTGAAACAAAGTGTATTGTTATAAAAAAAACGTGTTATTAAATTTTAATCCCAAACTTGTTATTTATAATCAGAACTTGTTATTTTTAAATGTATTGTTGTTATTGCCTGCAACAAAATTTATTGTTATAAAAAAAAAATTTGTTAAATTTTTATTCCAGACGTGTTATTTTACAATCAGAACTTGTTATTTCCAAATGTATTGTTGTTATCACCGGAACAAAAGTAAATGAGTTAACTTATATTTTTAAATGAGTTAACTTATATTTTTTTTTGCATCATAAGTTAACAAAAATTTGTGGCTCAATGGTCATTCCTTATTTTGGGAAGCATTAGGTGGGGGATCAAATCCCCCCAACCTCACTTCCCCCCAATTTAAAAAAAAAACAGTTCAAAAAAAAAATAAAGGAAGACCGCCGGAGCGGCCGCCGGCGCTGGAGCTCCGGCGGCCGGACCCCGACGTCCGGCCGCGACAGTGGCCGGAAGTGGCCGCAGGAGCTCCGGCGCGTGGCGGATTCCGGTGAGCGGAGTGGCTTTCCCTATTAAAAAAAATTAAAGAGGGTATTTTGGTTTTTAATTTGACCATAATTTTTAATTACAATTTGAGACCGGGTCCCTCATATAATTTAGCATATTCAGGTGACCATAGAGTGATTTGCTACAAGGGTCTTTATTTGTGATTTCCCCTATATTTTATTGAAAAATTATTCTCTATTTTCATAAGGATAATGGATGAAATCAGAATTGCCGAGGGATGATATGATGTTTATGGATGATCCATTATTGCGCTTGTTTGGTTACCAATTACACTATTTATTACTCTTCTGATCTTATTTATAAGGCACTTCCAGCATATTTAACACAGACAAATGGAAACCTTAAATTTTATTAACTCTTATTTAAAATTCAGTGACTTTTCAATTTTATCCCTATTTAATACATTATACTATTCCGTTCCTAATTATAAGAACCTTTTGGCTAAATTGTGCTTTTTAAGAAAATAATTTAAATTAGTTAAAAGCAATTAATACGTAACAAATGTAATTTTTTTTCAAATATACCCCTAATAAATGTAAAAAAGTAATAATGAGATAAATAGAGAGAGAATGTATGGAGAGAGAATTACATGAGAATTATTAGAGGTAAATAGGTAATAATACATTAAATGGTTAGACAAACTCAAAGAAGACCTTATAAAAAGGAACAAATCCATTTAGAAAAGGGGATCTTATAATTAGAGACGGAAGAAGTACCTTATATAAACAAAATCAACACAATAATAAATGAGGAGTAAAATCATATATTTATATAAAAAATTTCTCTTAATATCTTATAAATAAAACCAAAAAATATTTTTCCTCTTTGTTTTATAGGGACCCTTATACTAGAGAGTATAAGGGTCTTATATTTAGGATCGGAAGAGTACAAGAGAGTATGTTTTTTTGGTGCATAAAAGTTAAAACCCTCATTTCCGCGCCCACATAAAACTGGAAAAAAGAGCGCACTCTCAGTGTGTGAGAGCTCACAATTCTGGGAGGGGCTTTTTGAATTCACCTGCATACGATGGACGAAGAAGACCAACAAAAGGTTGCAGATCTGGTCAGGGAATTGGTACTCCGGTTGCTGTCTCAGAATCACACATCCGATTCAAAAACCGCAATCCCTAACTCCCAGGAGTTTCAAAAGTCTCTTCGCTATGCATTTCGCATCCTCTCCAGCAGATTGACGCCCTCCGTTGCTCCAGACGCTGCCGCCATCGCTGAGTCCATCAAGCGCCGCCTCGCCACTCAAGGTAGATCCGCTGAAGCCCTTACTTTTGCTGATCTTTACTCCAAGTTCGCTTCAAAATCCGGCGTCAATAATAAATGGGCAGTAATTTACTTACTCAAAATTATATCCGAAGATCGGAAGAACTTGAAAACCCAATTAGATACTTCGGTTTTGTTGCCCAATTTGGTATTAGCTGAAGATGAGTCGGGTAAAGATTCAAGGATTTTGCATAGTCATGCTGCTCAGGACAAGTCATGGAATAACGGAGCTCTGTTGGTTACCAAGGATCCAGATAATCGTCGCGACATTGCTTTTCGTGAGTTCGTAAATTTGGTTAAGGAGGAAAATGAGGTGTCTGAAGAGGTCTTGGTTAGGGACGTTCTATATGCATGTCAAGGAGTTGACGGGAAGTATGTGAAATTTGATAATAACCTAGATGGCTATGTTTTATCACAGTTGCTTAAGGTCCCTAGAGCCACTACAACTATGGTGCACAGACTCTGTGAACTGGGGAGGTTATTTAAAAAGGTCACAGGGTATATCTCGCAGATTACAGAAAGACTTACAGCTGACGATGTCGGTACTGTGGGGCAGGCATTTTGTGCTGCATTGCAAGACGAACTTACTGAGTACTATAAGCTGTTGGCAGTGCTTGAAGTACAGTCTTCAAATCCCATTCCATTAGTATCCGAATCAGCTAGTTCATTGAATTATCTTTCATTAAGGAGGCTAGTTGTTTGGCTTGCAGAGCCGATGGTGAAAATGAGGTTAATGGCTGATTTGGTTGATAAGTGTAGGGTTTTAAGGGGCGGCGCTATGACTGGAACAATTCATTTGCATGCCCAGCATGGTGATCCACTTGTTCATGAATTTATGGGGAGATTACTACAACGAGTGTGCTCTCCACTTTATGAAATGGTGAGAAGGTGGGTACTGGAAGGGGAATTAGAAGATATATTTACTGAATTCTTTATTGTTAGCCAGCCGGTGAAAGCAGAATCTCTTTGGAGAGAAGGTTACAGACTCCATGCGGCCATGCTTCCTTCATTCATTTCACCTTCTCTGGCTCAGCGTATCTTGAGGACTGGTAAGTCCATAAATTTTCTTCGTGTTTGTTGTGAGGATAGTGGTTGGTCTAATGCTGCAACAGAAGCTGCCCCTGCTACGGGGGCTACTGCAAGAAGAGGTGGTTTCGGCTATGGTGAAACTGATGCTCTCGAATCCTTGGTTGATGAAGCAGCAAAAAGAATTGATGAGCATTTGTTGAATGTAATGTACAAGAGGTACAAATTTAAAGAACACTGTCTTGCAATTAAGAGGTACTTACTGCTTGGTCAAGGCGATTTTGTTCAATATCTAATGGATATTGTTGGGCCTGAGCTCTCTGAACCTGCTAACACTATAAGCTCTTTTAAACTTGCTGGATTGCTGGAAACTGCTATTCGAGCATCTAATGCTCAATACGATGACCCTGACATATTGGATAGGCTGAGGGTCAAAATTATGCTGCATGAAAGTGGTGATAGGGGCTGGGATGTATTTTCACTTGAATATGATGCAAGAGTTCCGCTAGATACTGTATTCACAGAGTCTGTGATGTCAAGGTATTTGAGAATTTTTAATTTTCTCTGGAAGCTTAGAAGAGTGGAACATGCACTTATTGGTGCGTGGAAGACCATGAAACCAAATTGTATCACTTCTCATTCTTTTACCAAGCTGCAAAATACTGTAAAGTTGCAATTAGTTTCAACGTTGAGGCGCTGCCAAGTTCTTTGGGTTGAAATGAATCACTTTGTTTCAAACTTGCAATATTATATAATGTTTGAAGTCTTGGAGGTATCATGGTCAAATTTTCTAAATGAGATGGAAGTAGCCAAGGATCTTGATGACCTCCTTGCAGCACATGAAAAATATCTGCATTCAATTGTAGAGAAATCTCTCCTTGGAGAGCGTTCTCAGTCCATTTACAAGTCTCTATTTATAGTATTTGATCTCATATTAAGATTCCGGAGTCATGCAGATCGGTTGTATGAAGGAATCATTGAGTTGCAATCAAGGTATAAAACCTACTGTTTCATCTCTCTTATAATTTTTATAGACTTCGAGACAATATTTTCCTAATTTTCCGCGTATCTATGTCCTTGATATATCTGACAACATCTTTATTCAGAATCATGGAGTCCTCCTTTCAAGACCAGAACAAGTCCCGAAAGCAAATAAACAAGTCTGTGGAGCATGAATCCTGGATTGCTGATGGCAGGAAAGCCCTAACACAACGTGCCGGTGAATTTCTTCAAAGTATGGAACAAAATCTAAATGTGATTGCTGAGGAGTATTCATCTTTCCAAGAGGAATTTATTTCCCAGTTGCCCGTACAGCAGCATGTTGATCTTAAGTTCCTCTTTTTCCGTCTTGACTTCAACGAATTTTATGGGCGGCTGCGGCCAGGCATATAGGAAGTATATGAACAGCTAGAGGTTCAATTCAGAACGTTGTTTCTATAAGAAGACGAGCCATGAAATATATGCTTTGCCACGTGCTAGCCGCCATTGTGATTGACGGAACAACTGTATCAGTACTAACCCAAATTTTTATTGTTCGGTAATGGATTATAGGTATGGCGAATGCTTCTCATTTCTAATATGCTAAATCCATTAGAAAAATTTATATGTAGGATCTGACTCTCTCTCTTCCTGCAGATGGTTCTCTCTCCTTTCTGGTGTTTGCGCGGTAGCTTGCAGTGAATATGAATGTATTAATATTCTGATTTGGTGTGGGAGGCGGGCAGCAATATGCACACTATTATCTGATATTTTATGATTTATTTGGCATTTCCAGCGGGTTTTGCATGCAAGGCAATTCAGTGATTGTATATCTGTATCATAGTTTTTGGTTGATGAAAAGAATGCGGAAAAAATAAAAATCTATTCTTGGCATCACCTTCTATCTCTTCGCAGTGGCAATAGCTCCCAGCTCTTCCAAGCGCTTGGGTTTTGCTAGGTGGTTTAAAAATCAAGCTATATGTGGTGAAGAATCAAAGTTATTGCCTCACAATGGCACCTATTTGCGGGGAAAATGAGCAGTTGTTTTTGAAGAAAACATGAATACGGTTGCAAGTCAAGGTGCTTCGTGCATGTTTCTGGATATATTGACAGAAAATGTATTTGGATCGATGTAAGCTGAGGGAATTATAGAGCGGAATTTCCTTCCCTTTGATCTTCTCAACCGCTGGCTTTCTGAAGAAACGGAATAGTTTCATACTGCTGCATTTCTTTTAACCAGGGATTAGCGCCTCAATACATGGATTAAGAAACATGATATCGCAATTTCTTTTAAAATAAAGCTTGATATTTTTAAAATTGAAATTACAAGATAATATTATAACACTCATTTTTGGCCTCGTATGATAATGAAGAATACATAATTCTAATAAACTTATATATGATATAATGGATGCCGTGAAGAAAAACTAGCCGGGTACGGAAATATAGCGATTTACAGTAATCGTGTGGAAACCTTGACTTTGTTCTGTAGAGGCTGTGAAAGTATTTACCCCTTTAAGGACAAAGTATTTATCCCTTTCAGGGGATTGGATTGTTGTACCAATACATTTTCCTAAGAGCTCTATCCCTATTGCTAATTATTTGGCTAAACTTTCTCATTATATGGAGAATAACTTTTATATCCTAAATTAACCACATTCTTTAGGTGAGGGGGAGGTTGATAAAGAAAACTAGGTCTAAATGGTGCTTTTTTGATGTCATGTTTGTACTCAGTCTTTGGTTAAAATATATATATTTATATATCTGCAGAGGTTACTCAGGAAAAAAAAACTCTTTTTCATTCTCTATATTGTTAGATTGATCATTTCTACTTCTCGAATCATTTTCAATGAACTTATTCACCAATTTTATAACTAAATTTACTCATGAAATTTTAATTCAACGTCTTTATTAATTTTGCACAAATTTAAAAAGCAAAAATTTCTTGTAACTCAAATTTAAAGAAGAAACAAAAGATTGGGTAGCATATTTTTCATCCCTCCTCCATGCACGCACTCACGCGCTTAAGTTGACATCAAGATTATAACGCACTCAGAACTAGTTACTACTACTAATTAGTCATAATTCAAGGGTTAATATCATAGGAAATCCATATTTCACGGACAAAAATCCTGCTTCCTAATACCACATTGTTGCAGGCGGCACGTCGTTGTTATGAGGGTGGCCTGAGAGTGTTTTTGGGAGCACTGATCCAAGGGGTACCTGCAATGGCAAATCTCCATAAGGCACTCACATGCTCTGGCGATGCGTATTCTATGCCAACCCTTGGTCCTACCAAAATGCTTACTGGCTCCGGACCATCTAACACTTCCAAACCACCTGCATCACAAAGTCTCACCCATTTTCATCTTGATATTTATCTATTCCTCAAGTTTACATTTCAGTTCAGCCTTTGAATATTACGAGCTTACCAGGTCTATATAGGGGATGATTGGACCATTCTGTTGAAAGACCCAGTGCCTGACCAACCTAGATTTTGGACAACAATCACACTAAATCAGTTTTGAAACCTCTGCCGATCTGATCTTGTAACAGAAATAATCGCTACCCACTAGATGTCTCAGTAAGAAAGACGGCCAGAGAGAATATACAGTAGTAGTTTCTGTACTTTCTTCCTTGTATTTCTCCTCCTGACTTTCTGTCCAGCCGGAACTTCCGTTATCATAAGTTTTTAGTCAATTTTGGAATAGCAGATGGTGATGCATATACAAATATTTTGCTTATAATTATTACTTCCTTAAAACAACATGTGAGATAACAAATATAATGTGCATTTAAGATTGGTGATTCTTGGATTATGGACATAGTTTATAAGAACTTCCTAGAGAAGGAGGGTAAGAAGTAAGCAAATTATTAACCCAGTTGGGTCACGCAAAGCATCTCAAACTAATTATTAGTGGGGTAAGATGAAAGCCGGGAAACTAACCTTGCCAGGGCCAGTAAGAAGTACAGGTTTCTCAGTTTTCTGCCCTCGGCGCTGCTGAATGACAGCCAATCCTGTCATATTCTCAAGTATAATAAAGACACATCTTACGCAGAGATTAATTACAATGAGAACTAGTATAGATATGAACAGTTATTTAGAGGAAAATGAACTATGAATCAGAGGTTGATGTATCGATGCTAATGATATTTTGGAGGAAAATGAACCATGAATCAGAGGTTGATGTATCAAAGAAGCCAAATAGTGATCCTGATGATTTAGCAACATGTTATCGCTTTGATTATCCCCGAGTTGAACTCTTCACATTATCACTCCCGCAATTATTACGTCAATGGTTCTTTACAAGTAGCGTTATGCAGAGTAAGTGACTAAGAATCACTACCTGTCATCAATAAATAATGTAACAAGTTGTATGACCAAAAGGTAATGATAGAACTTTACCACTAACGGGGGCACAAGAACGAATCAAAACAGCAGCTCCAGCTCCTTCCTTGTCAGCAACAACATTCAGCATTATGTGGAGACCGTAACAAAGATAAACATACGCATGTCCACCAGGTCCAAACTACGAAGTAGAAACAAACCATTAAGGAAACATTAATCCACAAACTACTCAGAATCCTCAAATGTTCAATATAGGCAAGAGATTAAGATCAAAATGTGGACGTAAAAAGAGAGCAAATGAAGCGTCTTACAACTGGGGCAGTTCTTGCTGTAATGCCAAATCGACCATGACAAGCTGAATCATTTGGTCTGTATGCTTCCACCTAACTGATATGAATTCATCGTTAAATACCAAATGCAGCCTGTCCCACACACTCAACCACGTAATGAGGCACAACCATTCCATGGTGCCAAGCAAAAGGAGAAAGGAAAAAGACGCAGTGCATGGTGCTTTCATTTCCTCTCTAAGTGAACTGATGAAGTATGAGAAACCAAATGAGGAAAAGAATGTTGAAGAATCTTTTTTTTTTTTGTGGAAAAAAATGTTCCTTCTAAAATAGGATAAAACAACTGGTGGGTTTAGTGGCCAAAAACAGTCCCTGTACATTTTACTGCAAGAGATCAGATTGGAATTCATGACGTTGGCTTTGGTTCAAGAAACTGCTGATTTCCTAACATCTCAGAGCAATTATTGTACAATTAGAGGTCTTCAATAAGAGTGATTCGCTGTTCTACATCCAGACTTCGGAGTAGACCTCAGAAAAACTGACTGAGAGATACATTCAACACACAATGGTTCACTTAAAAAATTGGAAAAGGCAAAAAAATTTTATTGCACCAATTAAGCATGCTATGTCAGAAGGGGGGCAACCAGACTTGTTGCTCTGAGCAGCACCATAGGTTTATTTGATCCGGCTCTAAACAGCAAAACTATTCCCCAAACATTGATGCAGTCCTATTGCAATCCAATAAGGAACAGGAAAAGGAAAGGTGGCGGGATTTTTTTTTTTTTTTTACCTCAGTGATCTGAAGAACGACATCGTCCCTGCGAAGAAACTTTCCCAACAAACGGCGGGCAAGGTCCAACGCATCAATTTGAAAGAAATCTCGAGGCAAGATTTTCATTTTTCCAAAACAAGTGTCTGATAGTGGCAAAGCATTCAATCTGAGCTGGGGCTGGAGCTGGGGCTTGGACTTAGCCCTAAGCGTCGTCGATTTGGAACGCCGGCTCGTCTCAACTCGGCTGCCATCGTCCTGTTCGGTCTCTGGAATGGCTAAGCTGGGCTTTCCGGCTCGTTTGAATGGCTGGGTTCTTGGTGTTCGCTGGCCGCGAAAGCAATATTCATCAAACAAAGAATCAGGTACTGAAGCAGTAGAGGGTAACTCGCCTTGGACTTTGGCGGGTATTGACTTCGGGACAGACATGGGGCGTCTCATATCATTCAAATGCACCGCGCTATCCTTTTGGTCGTTTCAGTGCTATACCTTGTGATCATCATTCATCATGCATCCATTATAGCTTTTGATCAGGAAGTGAGGAAGAGCGCTTCCCGGGCTGGTGGCCCCTTTTCGGCCCTCTCTGACATTACGTTGAGATCAACTTTAGAAATAAATATTAAATTATATTACCTATTGTCTTATTTATAAAAATTAGTTGACTAATTTAAAGAGATTAAAAAAAGAAGTTAAATTAGTTATTTATAGTAAATAGGTTTTGTCTTTTCTAAAATATCCTTACTAATTAAATGTATTGGCTAAAAATATTATTGTTAGAAGGATTATCTTAAAAAAATACATAAATATAAGAAATAAAGTTGATTGGAATCTTATATTTAGAATCAAAATAAAAATCAAACAAGGTTTTATATTAAGAATAAGAGTTAGTATAATATTAATTTTTTCCAAAAAGTATAGGCAATAATCTCTTTAGTATTTAAACTTTTTTAAAATTAACTTCTCATATCCTAGGCTATATATATTTTAAAGTTAATTCAAGTCAAAAATTCTAGATCAATATACTTCCAGTCTTTTACACAAGTCGCATGAACTAACTTTTTCTTTTTTTTAATGAAATTTGATATAAGTCAATTTTGTGTTTTTTTCGCCCCTAAGATTCTAAGAATGCCCTTCTGAGTTCTTAGATATTAGGTTGGCGCGAACAAGCAAAGCAGGAGGTTAAGTGGGCCTGGGAGGGTTCTGGACCATTCTTGGGTCTCAGTTTTGGGTGAGTTTCTGGATCCTTCTAAATTCAGAAGAGTCCAGATTTTGACCCCGTTCTTTTATTGTCTTCCTTTCCTCTTGCTTTTGCCCAAACATTTCGGATCCTACCTATCCTTGCCCTGCGCTTCTCATTGAGCTCTTTCTTTCTCTTGATCGATGGCTAGGTTCGGCGAGGGCGACAAGCGCTGGATCGTCGAGGATAGGGCCGACGGCGCCAACGTTCACAATTGGCACTGGGCGGAAACCAACTGTCTCGAGTGGTCCAGAAACCTCTTCTCCAAGCTTCTCTCCGATCTCACCGTTCTTGATGGCGAGGGCAACTTGTTCATCAAGACCAAGAACGTTGACAAGGTCGATGGCGAAGCCTATGTCAATGTTCGAAAGGGTAAAATCATTCCCGGTTACGAGCTCAGTCTCTCTTTGTCCTGGGAAGGAGAAGCCAAGGAGTCCGACGGCAAATCTTTGCTCAAGGTCGATGGGACCGTTCAAATTCCCTATATCTCCGACGAGAATGCCGATGAGGACCCTGAGCTTAAGTTCACAGTCAATGACGAAGGGCCCATTGGCAAGAGGCTCAAGGAGGCCATGATTTCACGGGGTAAACCTTTAATCTTGGACAAAATCAGGATTTGGGTCGAGAGTATGGCGAAAGGTGGACCTGTCAAAGACGACTTGGAACCCAAAAAAGTGACCCAGCAGAATCCAGCTGCCTCACGTCCGCTGCTGCGCCCAAGAAAGAGGCTGCGGTGGAGAAAAAGGTCAAGAGTGATAGCAAGAAAGGTCGTAAAACAATCACCTTGACAGAGAAGTTTAGTTGTAGAGCGAGGGATTTATATGAGATATTGATGGATGAGAATAGGTGGAAAGGTTTTACGCAGAGCGATGCGAAGATAAGCAAGGATGTTGGTGGAGAATTTTTCATTTTTAACGGGTCGGTGACGGGAACAAATGTGGAATTACAGGAAGCTAAACTAATTGTGCAGAAATGGAGGTTTGGGAACTGGCCTGATGGGATTCATTCTACCGTAAGTTTTGTTTTTTTGTTTTTTTTTACCCCGAATGTTGTAGGATTTGGATGGGATTCTTTTTACATGAGTAAGTGATAGATTAATGTACCGGTGGAAATGAATTTTGCAGGTTAGACTTGTGTTTGAGGAACCTGAACCTGGGGTTACGATCATCAAGCTGACACATTCTGATGTGCCCGAGGAAGACAGGTGAGTGTTTATTTATTATTTCCTGGATATTTCCTCATGTTTATGACCCTAAAGTTGACAGCTCTGATTGCTTGCAAATGCAGCTATGGGAATGCCACAGTGGTGGAGAACACAGAGAGGGGATGGCGGGATCTCATTTTCCAAAGGATACGGGCAGTTTTTGGCTTTGGACTTTAAAATTTTCATATGATCTTTCTAGTATGTGAGGCCTTTTGTTTCTCTTGTCAAATTTTTAACTGATCAGCAAGGAAATGTTAGGATTAACATTGGATGTTGTGCACTCCATTACACTTGGTTTATGTTTGGCTCAAATGATACGGATTCTTCGACTGAAACGGATCTCGTGCGTCTCGTTTTATTGTATGGATCTATATGAGGTTTAAATGAGATCTGTAATCATATTCCCACTACGAATTGCATGTATTTTGCAGCAGCTTTTATTGTCATGGGAGGAATCAGCTCTTTCTTTTCAACTGTACCACCCTACTTTGTTTGCTTCTTGAATGCACCCATGAACGTGAGCAAAATTACCGTGGTGACGATGATATTGTGGTGGCTAAAAGGGTGTGTAGCGTCTGACTATTGCTCATTTCTGTTCTCGAATTAGATTGCATGTTGTCATTGAATTATTAGACCCTCTGGTTCTCAACTTAATGTGATTGGAGCAATAGTTACTAGATTAGATATTCATGGGGGAGTCAGATTGGGAGAACAGTAGGAAAGTTCTAATAAGCTATAATTTATTCATGGATGTGACTTACTTTTCAATCACAATTGCTGTAATATGACTAGTTAGATCCCCGGAATTAAGCCCAGGAATTATGATGTGAAAGAATGTGAAATTTCTTGCTGGCGAATTCCGAGAGCAAAGCAAGAGGAGTATGGATAATGATTTTGATCGAATTTAGGTTGATAAGAAATTAAGCCTGTTGCGAAATTGGTTCAACTTTTCCCTATTGGTGTTGAAAGATCTGGCGCTCCGGCTGATTTCGTTGCTGCATGATGACTGTTGTTTAGTTTTGGTCCTTGACGACGGGCATGCTGCTTTCACCCTCCATAAAAATAACTACGCTCAACGTTTGGAGTTTTATGTATTTGAGCCAAACACTTTGGTAGATGGGAGAAAAAATCTGTTGGAGTGGAGGGTTTAGGAAGGTTGAAGTAAAGTGACTGTAAAACGGGCCACTTTGATTGCGTAGTCATGTAGAGAGCAGCATCCTTTCCAACAAAAGATTGAAGAAGCTGGAAGGATCATAGGTTGGGGATGGGATGGTCATTTGGATTTGGCAAGTCCAGCCAATATGTTGATCTGTTGACCAAGCTAAGTTCACGCCTTTGATAACCTCGTCCCTTTTAAAAGCTGATGGATAATGAAAGGAGAAAGAAGGGGGTTATTTAGGTGTATTTATATGAAAGCTTTTGAGCAGTGGTAATAGATATGCCACTGTTTTAGCCTTAAAAAAATAGCATTAAAAAAACAACGCAGATTTACTGGGATGCTCGACGTGGAAAAAGAGGGGGGGAGAAGTGATTTGTAAATCTAAAAATATTTTTCTCGTCAATAAAGAATAATAA